CTTGTTACTTCAAAGGAGGTTTGTACTTTAATTTTATAGATGGAAAGCAACTCGCTTTACTAAACAAATTTAAGACCGTGTTCGTAATTAAATTTTAACAGGAATTCGTAAATTGAATCAAACTGAAGCTAAGCTTTGAAAAAAACTCACGAAAACCTATGCTAATATTAATCTATAGAATAAAGTATAACGAAAAATTGCTGTTGTATATCAAAACTAATTAATCTGAACGATATAACGAACTGGAAGCGCCTATTTTGCATATAGTGGATAGTAGTTCTTTCAGGGAAGTACTAGCAGCTTCAGTCTTTCTGCCGCCGCCAGTTTTGAAGGGTGAGGGTGCTGGTGAAATTACAAGCACATGGAGCTTGTCAACTCATGTCTCAGGGTGACGGGTGTAGTGGCAGTACCTCTCAGACATCTGCGAGTTAAAACTGTTTGAACTGTTATGGACAGGCGTGTCGCTTACCAACAGGCCCACGACTTATTCGTCCCGTCAATTAGTATCATAAAAAAATACAAGGTTCTACTCGTGCCACCCGAGCGAACCAGGAATCTCAGCGTCACCATGAGTTTGTTTGTTCACCTCGGCACTCAGAGTATTATACTCGTAATAGGATATGCGCAACTGTTCCCTCCTCTTCCATACATGCTCCTATCTGTTGTATTCTGAATAGAAAATTAAAAATGACGCTCTTAGTCTTATGTGCAATTCTACATATGACTTTAACAAGAATTAAGCAAACGAGAGTAGTTGCTCGTTGCCGGCTGCGCACATGTACTAAGTAACTCGGCTGTAAGAGTCACATTGAAAGAGCATGACAGGAGTAGCATTTTTGATGCAAAATATTACTCAGAATTTTGAATCTTATCGTCTAAAGAAAAAAGTTCAAATTGATTTGATGTAGTATAACGGTCGCTCTTTCAGTCTGACTTGACCCGTTGGGGGGCTTTGGCGCGTAGTTTCAGTTGAATCAACGCTGCCTAAGCTCATTAGGACCACCGACTGGTTCGAAAGATGTAGAGCAAAAATTCGACTTAAATACGTGAGTCGTCAGTTTATATCATATATCTGTGGTACATAGTTTTATCTGATCCTTGCGTATGCATTACACATGTTGTACATGGCCACTTCCTCTACCTCCACCATGAGATTTTAGTTTGTTCCTCAAATTGCACAACGCTAGCGATCGCAAGAAGAACTAAAATCATCACCATTGGCATGGAACTATTTTTTCGAATCTAAGTCGCCTATATTATTCTCAAACAAACCAATGTTTAGGAATCTTTACAGGTCCTTGGTTTACGGAGTCATAGCCTTAGCTATGTCATCATTAGATGGCACCTATAAAGGGCCCGAAACGTTAGTTGGTATGAAGAAACAAATACCCGAAATTTAGTCCGAAAAATAGTTACAGTTTCCTATGTGTAGTTATTGCGATGCAATGCGATCATATCATGGAGATCAAGTGTCGGATACAACAAGCGCGTGACGCATTTCTGAAGTTGAAACATCTACTCTGCAATCGACCCTTGAAGATCTGTGTCAGGGTGCGTTTGGTACGTTGCGAAATGTTTTCGGCTCGTCTGTATGGCGTAGAGTCTAGGACCTTAACTCACAATTATGAGTAACCACTTAGAAGCCTTCGAAATTTGGACAGAAGATTTTTAGAAATATATTAGACGGACAGTCCAATCAAAGAGTATTGTAAATAGTGAACTGGATATTTTGAATGCCGTCAAAACACGCAAGCTATAGTACTTTAGTTATATATTTCGTAATGCTAAATAGTCTTGCTCCGATTAATTATAAAATGAAGAATCGAGGGAAAACGACCACCTGGAAGAAGGCGCACTTCCTGGCTTAAGAATCTCCGGACATGGTTCAACCTGAGTACAAGATCCTTGTTCCGTGCAAATGTGTCTAAAATACAGATAGCCCTAATGCTCGCAGACCTCTGTTAGGAGACGGCACCTCAAGAAGAAGAAGCTATCGCGAAAACTCAATATTATCATACTATAAGTTTCTGGTAAAGATGCTGCTTCCCTCTAGAATCTATAACAAATTCACGACAAATAGTTATATAAATATCACTCACCAGAATCAGGGCAAATAGAGACAAAGGCGCGTGGTGCATAGCCAGCAGAGTACCAGCTCCAAGACATATCGTGACGATTACAGATCCAGTCAAAGAGAATGCCTCCCACTCCGATGCGACTGGTAGAAGAGCCAAAGCCAGCACGACTGACAACACCACCGTGATCACAGCCAGGGCGGATATTGATTTCGTTTGCGTTGATAGGTCCTGAAACAAAAAATCGAATGGTTAGCCTAATTGGTTGTTGTATGATAAAATTGTTGTTTTAATAAAAAAATAGAGCGCATTTGATCTTCATCTCAGCTGATAGAAATTGATATAAAAATTGATAAAAATCACGGAGAATGTGTGATGGTATTGCATGTTTTTGTTCCGCCTTCCCCTTCGGGGAACTTTTTTTAATAATAATATCAAGTGACGGGACGAACAAGTCGTGCGTCTGGTGGTAAGCTACATGGGTCTGTCCATAACAATGCAGTGCCACTCAGAGCTTTAAATCGCAAAGATCTTAGGGGCACTGCTACTGCGCCCGTCACCCTGAGACACAAGTTGACAAGTCCTTGGTGACTGTAATTTCACCAACACCTTTAAAACCGGAACGCAATAGTAATCACATTACTGCTTGGTGGCAGAACTAGGTAAGACTAGACGTGGGCTGGGGTTCCACCCTTATGTTGTCGATATTCCCAGGACTCGCACAAAACGTTTCACTTCCACATTTCTAAAATGCCGTCCACTAACTAGAACGCGGGTAAGTAACAAATGGCCAAATATCCATTGACTTACAAATAAATGGACGACGGGTCTAATACAAAAACCACGAAAAAAATGTCCCAAGTCAACCTATTTAAACGTAGTGACATGTAAAGGAATATGAAAAAGCTAAAACGTTGAATTTAAATTGTAATGTCATCGCAGTACTGTCAAATTTTGCTTGCTACGCTGTCAGTCGAACAAACGAGTGAATGACGCTCTGTATACGATTTTAACGCCCTATAAGTTCGGACACTTTTTAGCGCGGACCCGACGTCCATATAATTGTAAGTCAATGCAAATATCCGATTTAATTAGCAACATAGAGCACAAAGTTATCTTTTAAAAACAGTTAAAATTAGTTAACTTGTTCTACTTATCGGAACTCACCCTAACTAGGCATAGCTGAATCATCATTAAACAATTTCAATATACTAAAACTGGGCTATGGTTTTTATGATATCTCAAAAAAAATATTTTGTCACGTAATCACGTTTTAGTTAGCAGACGGCAGTATAGCGAGCGGCTAGGGAGTGGAATTCCCTGCCTACGGACTTGTTTCCCTAACGCTATAACTTGGACCTTTTTGAAGGCGAGAGGGAACAAGCACTATTTAGGTGTGCATGCTACGTCGTCGACCTCATCGTCACTTCCATCAGGTAAGATGGAGGCCAAACGCGCACTTATTTTTAGTATAAAAAAGCCTATTTATTCTCGCCTTGAAAAGGCTCAAGTTATACAGTTCAGGGAACTGCAAAGCAATTGTATGATGTCTGTGAAGTTCCTAATCCGTATTGAGCGCGCATAGAAAGTATGGTTCCCTAGAGGCCCAAGCCCTCCCATTTGAGAGGTCTATGCCCAACAGTGGAACTATATATAAACTAACTAAATTTTATTAAACCAAATAATACACATAGAGTCGAAAGCACTTCTCTCAGAAATCGTAAAATATTTGCTGTGCACAAGTATACAACAAAATATAACATTCAATTCACTCTATGTACTTCTGCTTGAAGTTTAAACAAATATTCTCAATCTATTTCGATCTCCAATAATTAAGTGGTAATTAACTATTGGTTAGTAACCGTTTAATAGGAAATTTGTAACATGTTGGGGTAGTTTTCAGGTTCGCTATCTCTTTCTAATTTCGGTGGCAATTTTTATAATTTAAATATTCTAGAATTGCATCATGAATTATTAATTAATATTCGAGAGTAGTATCCTAAAATATTTTTTAAGATTCCACAATATGTATATTCACAACCGAAGTGCCAAAATCATCAAAACATCCACATTAGAGGCAGTTTTAAAGTGAGGCTCATTGTAGTCCTATCCATCCTAGCTAGAAAGTTACTAGAGAGCCAACTTGGGTGGTATAGACATATGCGACGACCACCTGATCACATGACATCTAAAGTCCTTGACAAGAGTAACCAGCCCATGGGACGTGTTAGACTCCGCCTCATATGGATATCCCTTGTTAATAACAGTTAAGACCACAGACGACTCAGGACGGAGAAGAGTGATCAGAAGCAAACAAAAATATATTCGAGTACTTAATAAAAATTGCCACCGAAATTAGAAAGATAAAACTAACTCGAAAATTATCCTTTACGTACAAGCATCTGCTGCAGTAAATATATATTAAAATAAACCATTCTTCGTTTCTATTAAATCCTACTGCCTTAACTTACTGTTGCCTTCTGCACTCTGCGCTCTGATTCGATGAAAGGAGCTTCAGGCGAGTCCTCAGAGGAGACGCCGAAAAACTGTTTTGCTAGTTACTATTATATAACGATCCTGCAAAAAATATACGATACGCCTAAGGATATTATCCAAAGAATGAGCTAATGTATTACACGGTGGGATGTACTTCGCCCGATCATATAAAATCCTTAACACAGGAATTATTTATTGCGTAAACTGAAATTGCTCATTTCTGACTCTGCATTAAGACAGGTCTATTTTGCACATTGCCACTCGCTGATGTCGTACGGTTCATTCATATGGGGTAACTCCACGAATGCCAACCTTGTTAATGCAAAAACGTGCCGTACGCGTATTGGTTGGTGTAAAACACAGACATTCCTGCGGAAATCTCTTTGTAACGCAATGCATAATGACGCACTACTCGTTCTACACATACGAAAGTATAATATACGTTACAAATGGTCTTTCTTCATTTAGTACTTACTGTAAATGATTTTGGCATCCCACTCCGCCGTACTGGTCTTTTAAGAACAGTCCCCTGACGCATGGCACTTGCAGAGAAAAACCCGCTTGTCATCGGACCTACTTACTAAGAGAGTTTACCCGCTACTCTCAGACTTGAACCGTCTGACGAAACATTTAGACGCTGGCTGAGAGACCTTTTATTGAAAAATCCTTTATACTCTGTAAATTAATTTATGGACTTTAAATTGTAACGAATTCAGTATTTTCTATTTTCATTCTAATTTTTACCGCATTGACATACTCTTGTATAATTGTTATCAACTTATGACGATCCTTGATGGAGAATGATATTTGATATATAATTTAATGACAACAATATTATATAATGAATTGTTAATTTTCTAATTATGGTGTGGTTTTCTTATAATTTTCCTTTTTGTCTGACGATCTCAATATAATTTCTTATACTTTGACATGTAGTCATTGACTGACAAATAAATGGACGACGGGTCTAATACAAAAACCACGAAAAAAATGTCCCAAGTCAACCTATTTAAACGTAGTGACATGTAAAGGAATATGAAAAAGCTAAAACGTTAGATTTAAATTGTAATGTCATCGCAGTACTGTCTAATTTTGCTTGCTTCGCTGTCAGTCGAACAAACGAAGACAACAGCGTGAATGACGCTCTCTATACGATTTTAACGCCCTATAAGTTCGGACACTTTTTAGCGCGGACCCGACGTCCATATAATTGTAAGTCAATGCATGTAGTGCAATTTATACTGTAATGTTATATTTCAGAAATACATGAATCTGAATCTAAGAATAAAATATTTAATTCTGGGTCTCTGGGGGCCACAGCCGAAACTTCTAGCGAACGAGCTGTCAGGTCGCCTCGTAGAAGCCTCCGGTGACCACAAGACCGGAGTCATTTCCGCCAAAAAACGGTGTCCCAGCGTACGGCCTTGGAGGAAATTTTATATTTATAAACATTCTTACTTCTTTATGTATGTATCTGTTATTACAATATATTATAACTGTATGAAAATTGTGAATAAATAATTCTTTCACATTGCACATAAATTTTATATGAAGATATTTCTCTTTAAACACTACAAAGAATTTGCTAAATTTTGGTTTTGAAATAAAGTTATTCAATTGATATTTATTTCAAAATCTGAAAATTGTCCAGCGGTTGAACGACTCTTGCAGATGTGGCTTTATTTCGGCCATTATCCGGATAGTGTTCGCTTCTTAATTTCCGTGGCAATTTTTATATTTTTAAGTATTTAAGTATATTTTCATGTGTATATTAACATAATTATTTAATATTTCACGATACAAACTCGAATTTTAAATAACCAATTTTCACTACATGTATTTCCGCAAAGTAACGATAGAATCTATTAAGTTTTTAAAAATTGCAACTTTTTGTTGGTGGATCGAACGTCAAACCATCGTGTTCGAAACCGAACCGAAATGACGTCACACCCGTACGATTACTCGAACTTCTCGACCGGCAAAGGCTACAAACGTTATTCAGAACATAATTATCGAATGAAAGTTACGAAACGTCCTATTGTTTACAAAGCAAGAATGTAATATGGAAATCTCTTATTACTTTAAACAAAGTCTGGATTTTGTTCAATTTTATTAATTTATTTAAATGCGAGACTAATGCATTCCTGTAAAATCTTAAAAATTTATATAAGGCTTTTGAGAAGCTCCTTGAAGAGCTCTGAATCTGGGTCCTGGAACGACAAAAAAAACTTGGTAATTTGCATATTCTACTCCCAGACGACGTACAAAGTTTATTGCGCACTATGTAGCTTTAAGCTTAAAACGCTTTGAGAGGGATAGTTTAAAAAGTACTTACTTGAAACTTGCTTCAAGTTTTGTTCGTAATTTCCACAATTTTGCAAATTCAGCAGCATATTTCAATTTATTGATAGGTACACAGCCCAGTAGCACGACAGGGCGCGACTTTCGCATGTACTCTCTTCTTCTTTTCTCTACTTTTTAGCCTTTCTAAATATACATTGTTACTTTCATTTATTACACCAAAACCTATTCACAATCATTACCTATTTTCACTTGAAGTTACACTTATGTATCAAATCCGCACATGCACTTACATATTGAATAGGTTACTTTAAATGCACTATTCACATTTTATATTTTAATGAAGAATGTCCCTCCTAGTCGTTTATTAGGTCTTTCTTTACATATTATTATATCTT